AAATGCTTCATTTATCGGTCCAAATTGATCAAACTCGGACCGATTCAGCTTAATATACCAAACTACATAACGTTTTTTCTATTGAAACCCGGTTTGTATATATTTTGTGTTTTTGAATCAAATTTATTTTTCAAATAATTATAATTTTATGTTTAGGTAACTTATTTATAATATTATTAGAAACAATTTGAAAAATCATGGGATTTTCAAATATATCTGCTGAAAGAAAATGCTTCATTTATCGGTCCAAATTGATCAAACTCAGACCGATTCAACTCAATATACCAAACTACATAATGGTTTTTCAAATGAAACTCTGTTTGAACCTAAAAAAATCTTGTTCAAAACCATTTTCGGGATTCTAAAACTTAAATGGACAGTTGCCAATAAAGACAATCTCACCAAAGAATACCCTCAACATCCTAAAAAGGTAGGCATAAGGAAGTTCTCATGGTTTGGTCCATTTGAAACATTTCACAACCTTTCCTATTTATAGAAGAGGAAACGTTCTATTGTTTACTCTCACCATCGATGTGGGATGAAGACATTGTAATAAAACACGTTTTCTTGTTAATAAAACATTATTCAACTTATTTAGTAAAACACCATTTCTCTTGTTTACCCTTTCTTTATTGTTCAATAGTTCCATTTTTCTATAATCTGGTTAGTTGTTATCCAAAAACGTAAGTTTTTATTGAATAACTTTTTGTTCAATTCTAAAATCATAAATTCAGTTAAATACTTAATATAGAAAGTTTGTTTATATGTATTTTCAAGATTCAAAAGTTCATTATAAAAAGAATTCATTTATAGAATATAATCTGCGTATATATTTCGTGCTTTTGATCAAATCGAATTTTCAAACAATTATAATTTTATGTTTAGGTAGATGTTTTTTTATATTTATATAACATTATGTAACTTTTTTAAAATATCATTGGAAACAATTTGAAAAATCATGGGAGTTTCAAATGTATGTAGTGAAAGAAATGCTTCTTTTATGGTCCAAATAGATCAAACTCGGACCGATTCAACTAAATATACCAAACTACATATTTTGTTTTCTAGTGAAATCTGGTTTGTATATATTTCGTGCTTTTGAATCAAAGTGATTTTTCAAACAGTTATAATTTTAGGTTTAGGTAGATGCTTTTTTATATTTATATAAAATTATGTAACTTATTTATAATATTATTAGAAATAATTTGAAAAATCATGGGAGTTTCAAATGTTTGTTGTGAAAGGAAAATGATTCCTTTATCGGTCCAAATTGATCCAGCTCCGGTTCAATTCAATATACCTAACTACATAATTTTTTTTCTAACTGAAACACGGTTTAAACCTGAAAAAATTCGGTTCAAAACCATTTTTGGAATTCTAAAAGTTAACTGGACACTTGCCAATATAGACAATCTCACCAAATAATACATTCAAAATCCTACAAAGGTAGGCATGAGGAAGTTCTCATGGTTTGGTCCCTTTGAAACATTTCACAACCTTTCCTATTTATAGAAGAGGAAACATTCTCTTGTTTACTCTCACCATCGATGTGGGATGAAGACATTGTAATAAAACACCCTTTCTTGTTTATAAAACATTATTTAACTTATTTATAATATTATTGTAAAGAAATTGAAAAGTCATTGGAGTTTCAAATGAATGTGGTGAAAGGAAGTTAAAAAATGGAGTTTCAAATGCATGAGATTTAAGAAAAAATGCTAGCTTTATAAGTATGTATGATAGCAGTTAGATTTTAGATGATAAACTTATACTTTATTTTTTTATAACTCATTTGTTATTTTGTAAGTAATTACTACATCTATTTGTGCAGTAATAACTTGTACATATTTTTATGTTTTCCAAAATACACTATTAACAAAAAAAGTTATATGTTATTAACAAATACCAGTAAAAAATATAGACATCGACACATTGTATATTGTTTTCAAGTCTTGCAATGTAGTTTGTGAATTTGTTAATGAATTTTTATTATCTTTTAGACGTTTTATGTAGTTTACAACTTATAGAAAGATTAACTTTTAATAACGTAGTTTATAAAAATTAAATAATCAATTAACTTTTAATATAATATAAGCAAAAAACAAGATTAGTATCGTATACCCGTTTTCTCTATAGGGAATATGTGGTTGTGTTTGGGTTAGTTTTTTATTACAAAAGTGTTTTTAGGAAAAATGTTTATTGGCTTATGGCTTTTTGAAAAAATAGTTTTTTAAAAGTGTTTGGGTCAACTTTTGTAGTAGGTAAAGATGAAAATCAATGTTTTAAAAACCAATTTGAACTGCCCGGTTGGACCGAAAACCTGAAAAGTGAGTGGTTCAACTAACAACAGTTTTATATCTATTTCTAAACCGGAATGAACCGGCCGATTTTTACAAAAAACTGGTTAAATTAAACCAGTTGAACCGATTAAATTAAATAAAAACATATGGAAATGAATTATTTAACTTTTAACATAATATAAGCAAAAAACAAGATTAATATTGTATACCCGTTTTCTCAAGACCACTACTGCCTACAACTTGTAGGGAATATGTGGTTGTGTTTGGGTTAGTTTTTTTATTACAAAAGTGCTTTTAGGAAAATTAGTATTGGTTTATGGCTTTTTGAAAAAACAGTTTTTAAAAAGTGTTTGGGTTAAATTAAATCAGTTGAACCAGTTAAATTAAATAAAAACATATGGAAACGAATCATTTTCATAACAAACTTTGGTTTTTTCTTTTCACATATATTTAGAATTTTTTGAATAAAAATAATGCTAAATGTTATAAAGTTTTTTTTAATGTTTTGTATCTATCTAAAACTATATTTTGTTTTCATATTATACTTTATTTTCTTTTTGATGTACGTGAATTGATGTAAAACTTACGGTTATGTGCTTTTAATGTATTTGGATTGATTTTTAACTTGTATTTATGTATACTTTTAATGCTTAAACTTATGGATGTCTATATGTATGTAAGAAAATAAACAAAAAAGATGAAAATTGCAGAAACCGATTGAACCGAGGCTCAAACCGATTAAACCAGTTGAACCGCGAACCGGTCACCATACCGACTTAACTAAAAACCTGGTTTTTTAAACATTGGTGAAAATCCAATAAGTTTGTTTTAAAAAATGTTTGACTTATCCTGTGGTAAAAAAGTAAGTTTTTAAAAAGTGCTTTTACGAAAAACTGAAAAAGTAGGATTCTTTAGTTTTAGAAAGCTTCATATTTTGTCTATATAAAAAAAAGCTCTAAATAACTGTTTCAAAGTTATTTTTAAATACCCAAACATTTTTTTAACATATTAACTTTTCAAAAAACTAATAAACTAAAAAGCTATTTTGAGAACTAATCCTAAACACCAACTTAGGGGGTGTTTGACTTATCTTTTGAGAAGCAAAAAGTCCTTTTTGATGTTTGATAAAAGCATTTTAAAAGCTATTTTTGGATTTTGAATATAAGGAAAACTAAAGCCAGGAAAACCTGACTTTTTGCAACTTTTCCAAAAAAGACTTTTGGCATGTCAAAAGATAAGCCAAACACCCCCTTAGCCACCCATCAACTATAATCGTGTTCCTTGTGCGGCCTAATAAAATTTGATAATTAAAAAAGACCTGGTTGTGACACTTTTTTTAGTAGATATTTACTACGTATTATAATGTTTTTTGTGGACTAGTGTAGGGGTTTACCAAGTTACATCATGTATTTGCGTTCCTACTTTAATTGTTAGTTTCTTACTAACGTTAATAAACCGATACTAACAAAAAATACTTGCAGTGTACAATTTGAATACCGTGAACTATAATATTTTATAAGTCTGTCGATCAACCTCTATATTTTTTCGTGATCTGAATTTAATCATTCACATATTATATAATATTATATTATATTACTAGGTGTGAGATCCGTGTATTACACATGTTTAATAAAAATAAAAATTTAATATCAATATATAAACATTAAATATTTTATAAAATAATGTTTTTCCATAACAAAATGTAATCTTTTGGAGTATTTATGAAAAAAAAATCAAATCATTTGGAGCTTTTATGAGAATTTATTATCAAATTAATAGAGTGATAACCTTACATATATATAACCTATTAGAATTTTTTTGGAAATTTATTTTAAGAAAATTGAATCCCCAAAAAATAACAAGTGGAAAATAACAATTATAAAAATCCTAAAAATGACATTTGTCAAAATGAAGGAGAAGATGAGAAGTGACAAAAGTAGTTTCATTTATTAGGTAGGATTGTTATACAATTATATAAATTATAAAGCATTTTAATCAAATCTATCTAAAGGATATAAATTGCAAAACCACTAACTAAGGAAAATCAATTATTATATATATATATATATATATATATATATATATATATATATATATATATATATATATATATATATATATATATATATATATGTGACACAATTGCAAAAATGGTCCCTATGGTATGCATTTTTTTGGGGTTTTGGTCCAAACCACGACTTTTTTAGCTTCGTGGTCTTTTGGACTGGTTTGTTTGTGAAAATGGTCCATTTAGTTAACTTCCGTTAAAAAGAATCCGTTAACCCCCTCATGTGCCTTCCACATGAGGGTATTTCCGTCTTTTTATTTATAGGGACCATTTTTGCATAAGAAAAAAACCCCATTATATATCATTTCCCCAACGACTGTTCTTCCCCAACGTTCTTCACTATGGCCGGTTGTCTCCATCGCCGACAACCTCCTCAGCGAAATAGGTTTTGGGTTTTTCTCTCCGTTAATCGCAACCTTTGAAGTTATTGGCATAGATCACAAAGAAAAGTGCTTCCATTGCTTTGTTGTAAGTAGCATTAGCATCAAACATCAAAAAATCCCGATTAATGAATCATCATCGATTTCTCTTATGATATCTTGCTTCAGGATGGATGTTTTTCTACACTCGAAGGAAGATGCACTGTGTTTCGAGATTTTACAGATTTTTGCTTCCATTCATACTTCTCATTCATGGACGATCTCAGTGAAGAAATTCCCACCGGCGAGAAAGCAGTCGACATGAGGTTCGTAAAATGATAAAAATCCAATCTTTCTTATAGTTCTCAACAACACCCAGTTTGTAAAATTCATGGATTTCCAAACTTTTATGATTACATCACAGATTATCCAAATTGACAAAGAGTTTATTCATCATCCCCATCGCTATCACCATCGACGTACCTCTGATAACCGGCGTTGCTCTATGGAAGAGTCCATACATGCTGATTATCAGATGGAAGAGACTATTAGAAGACTTAATCGGGAGAGAAGGCCCTTTTCTGGAAACTGTTTGTGTGCCTTTCGCCAGACTTGCCATCGTCTTATGGCCTTTAGCAGTCGTTGGAGCTGTAATCGCGTCTCTCTTCTCCAGTTTTGGTCTTGCTCTATATAGCGCCAAAAAACAGAACCCATCCCTAATTCCAAATTCTAAACATAAAGTCGCTACATCTGCTTTTCTTTTTCAGGAAGATTCAATTAAGTTTGGATTTGCGTACATCGTGGCTGTGGTTTCATTGTTTGATGATGTAACGCCCGTGTTTCAGGGCTAAACATTTTAGATGATGTAATAGTCTAGGTCAACTATTGTAACTCTCTTTGAAGTAATAAAAATGAATTATTTGAGTATTATGTGAATTATGTGAAATTATGTGCTTTATACTTAATTATAAATGTATAATTAATAAAGAATAAAAATAAGAGTCAAAATTAAAGTGTGAGATAAACCCGATATCTTTATATAAAGTTGTAGTGGTCGAAAGAAGGATTCCGTTGATATAAAGAACGCCGAAATCCGAGTTATAACGAAGAAGTTATGACCCGTCGAAGTTTCGCGATGGAACCGGCACGATACCGGGAAGCGTAAATAATGAATTTATGATAGAGCGAGTTTTAGCCTTAGCGATCTAAACGAAAGTGGTAGAATACGTTAAACCGAGAGCGTCCATAAAAAGAACGCCCAAATCTGACTTCGTATGAGGTAGTTATGATTTTTCGAAGTTTCGGCTTAGCAGTGTACAGCACGAAGTTCGAATATTAGATCGAGCAGTTTTTAGCCAACACAACCTAAACGAGAATCGAAGATCTTGTTAATAGTAGCATAACGATAAAAAGACAGACGAAAACGGACGTTGGATGAAGAAGTTATGAGATTTTAACGGACCAATCCTGTCCTGGCCTGTTAATAATTTAACTTTTAAAATAGATTCAAAATTAGCCGACGGAGTCTAAACGAAAGTTGTAGAGTACGTTCTTGCCTACGCGTAGATATAAAGAACATCGAAAACGGAGCTCGTATGCGAAAGTTATGATTTTTAGAAGTTAAGTGTGCAATTTGCGAAACTGTGATGACGTGGCGCGATCCTAGCCTTCCCTTGCTCCCCACGGTCTCGCATCCGATAAGGACACGTCGCCTCGCATTACGCCCTGCGTCCGAAGTTGGGTACGCCCGGCGTACTTGATCTTCTGCGGTCCGAGACGAAGCCACGTCGCCCCACCCATCTGGCATCCTTATCCGAGCACTACGCCCAGCGTAGCCAAGGATTACGCCCAACATAATCCGAGGCCTCACAAGCTATAAAAGGGGGATGAGAGTTCCGAGTTTTTCACACCAATTCTCCTTCTCTCTAGTTTCTTTCTCTCTCTAGCCTATCTTAAGCCCCCTAAACCCTAGGGAACCCCCCTAGCACCCGAAGGAAGCCCCGAGGCTCCCGGAGTCCCGAGAAAAAGGGTCTATCGGTTCGGAAACGCTGCTCCAAGCGAAGCCCGGTTTTCTTTAAAATCCGCTGTAAGTGAGCTACGCCTATGAAATTTTTAATATAGCTTTTAAATAATTATAGTAATGTTATTAGGCCCTTAAAATAATTATTTGGGCTATTATTATGAGTTATATAGAGTGTTGTTTAACGCTTATATAATAATAATAATAGCTAGACTATTAATTAATCGCGGTTAACGTTAGACTAAACCCTAGTGGTATTGATACTAGGTTTCGTCAAGGGAAAATTGTTTTGAGATAACGAAGTGCTGTCCGAGTACCGAGTCACCACCTAATCAGGTGAGTGCATAGTCACTTTCATCTTACACATAGATATGAAGTATTTAATATAAATTACGTGCTATGTGTGCATATTGTCTAAATACTTGCTGTCTATGCTGATGAAAGATTTTTATACATGTTTTAAATGATTTAAACTGTATATGTATTTTATATCTACAAAATGTTGGGGTAAAACATAGGTAGATGTAATAGACGATGTGTGATAAAATGATGAGATGTCTCGATGTTGTTGTTGTTGATTCTGTCATCTAGTGGAGTATGGATGACGACCACAGACTCTTCTAGACAGTCCAGTGGAACGCTAGCAGGCTTGCAACCTGTAGGTGTTTGTGAACGATGTGTTCACCGGTGTACTCCATCCCCCACATGGTTGCCTTAAGGACATTTATTGCTGAGGAATCCCCTTAGCAGTAGTGTCCATCCCGATGATGATCCTTAGGCTAGGTGTTTAGGGACGTAAAGTGAGGATAACGAGAACGGGTAATCGGGTTATTGTTGGTTGATGAAATTAAATAACTTATTTATTGTGGGTTGAAAACCCTATGTGCTCACCAGGCTCCCAAGCCTGACCCACTCAGTTTCATGTATTACAGGTAGTGGCGCTCGAGCATAGGTGTGATGTTTTGGATGAGGGATTACGGATATAGGCCTGTAGATATGAAATAATGTAGTAAGGCTTATATTGTACTATTTATGCTTTTGATCTGTATCGAACATGACATCCCGAGTCTTTTAATGAAATACATTTCTTTGGAAATGCTTTTGATAAATCTTTATCATATTTTGTTTTGGGACAAATTCCGCAACACTTTTATTTAAAATGTTACTCTGATTTTCAAACAAGCATAAACAAAATCGGTCTTTTTTGGCCGTGAAAATGGGGATGTCACAGATGAGTACACAAACGACATGCTTTACTTAAGAGAAGGATCATGCTTTCCTAGGTATATGTATATAACTATATATCGTCACTACTTTTTTCAATTTTGATCGTGTTCTTGATGGTTTTTTTTCTGGAAATCCTTTCAACCGCAGACCAATATATCGTGAGAACATGAAAGCATCTGATGGGTTAGAGAAAAGGAATTCAATTGATATCAAGAACGAAAAGGAAAGCTCAAGATCGTCAAGATTGGTTTCACAACGTTCAAAAACTTTGACACATTCTCTTCAACAATACACACCTGTGCAAGTTTGGGATTGGTTGTTCAAGTCATGTGAGGTGAATCGAAGAATACTTTTTTCGCGATGGTTTGATAGATGTTAAAGACATTGAAGAATGTATAGTGAAGGGAAATGTAAGAAACTAGGGATGAAATTACCCATGTGGTCTATATTACAGTGTCTTCTTGCTTCAGCAAAATCTGAATCTTCAGGTGAAGGTATTGTATCTTGAGGCATAACAAAATAGTCATTGGGGAAGAATAGTGAAGAACGTTGGGGAAGAAGCTGGAAATAGAAAATGATGTATCAAGGTTTTTTTTTCTTATGCAAAAATGGTCCCTAGAAGTAAAAAGACGGAAAACCCTCACGTGGAAGGCACATGAGGGGGTTAACAGATTCTTTTTAACAGGAGTTAACTACAGGGACCATTTTCACAAACAAACCAGTCCAAAAGGACCACGAAGCCAAAAAAGTCATGGTTTGGAACAAAACCCCAAAAAAATGCATACCACAGGGACCATTTTTCCAGTTTTGTCTATATATATATATATATATATATATATATATATATATATATATATATATATATATATATATATATATATATGGGAAAAGTGAATATACCGTTAAGGGTATATAAGGGTATATATATATATATATATATATATATATATATATATATGTTGTGTTTATAACCTGGTATAAACACAATCTACATCCTCAGTTGGCCTGCTACTGCAAGCACCATAACCTAGATTATCTCTGTAAAGATTAGATGCGCCTGCTACATATCCATTGTTAATTGTTGTTCCAAATGAGCCATATCTACATCTAACAGCTACAAAACATCATCAAAGAATCATTACAAATTAAGTTATAATCATATACATGTATGGATGTTTATATATGTTAATTTGAGCTCTCACTTTCTGATCCTTTGTCATTAGAATTTGGGTAGTGTGATGCTGTAGAATGAATGAAAGGGCCATTTGATGTGGTACAATCTGCATAATTTATCACAGAAAAGATCAAAAGCCAAAATTATGAAGAGAAAATGAAGTGAAAATGCCATTTTGGGAATATGAAGGAGAGAAGTTGGTTTTGTATGGAAAGAAACAAAGACCGGTACTTATTTATAGTGAATAAAATGACTCTGTGGTTCGTAGCATTTTCAATGCTTTGACATTTTTTGTGTTGAATGAAAGAAATTTTGTCACGTTTGTTCCTCATCTTAGATATAGAAACCCCTTTGATGACTTCCTTCTGCATATTCTACTATTTTACTTTTTTCATATGAAAATCAATGGCTGATATGAAATTAGGCTATAATTTTGGGTTAAAAATGAAAATTTGCTGCAATTATGGGTTAAAAATGAAATTTGTTTGTAATGTTTTGGCTAAAAATGAAACTTTGCTGCAATTGTCGGTTAAAATTGAAAGTAGGCTGTCATTTTAGGTTAAAAATGAAACAAGCATTCAACAACATCAAAGCAACAAACATTTGTTGTTTAGCAATTAATCAAGTTTCACCACTCAAACGGAATCTGAAAGCAAAATTAAATCTATCATAACAAAACCATCAAAAAAATTTAACATTACAAAATATTAAAAGTACTCACATCATAAAACTGGTCTTAACGTACTTAGTTTTAAACAAGACAAAAAGTAAAATTCAATACATAAGAACAATCTTGTCTTATTCCCACCCGGTTGCACATGCACCTTCAGCTTGTGGTACAAGAGTAACAACAACCTCCAACCCATCACCACCACTCACCTGAGCTGATTAAAAACCAAAAAAATATAATTATAAAAATAAAAATTACATCTTTAATGTTCAAACCATGGCAAAATCAACTAAATGATTATGAATCCTTACCCTCAACCCCTTGGATGATTTTGCCTGTGTCCCAAACATGTTAAACTGCAATATGTAATGTTCTGGGTACTATTGAACTAGTCTACACATACGTTTGATGGGTTTTTCCCTTTTTGGATGATTTTACCCCTGTCCTAAAAAATCGAATTCAACCTTGATGTTGCTACTGATCGAATCACAACACTTATTCATATTTTGATGATTCCTAACAAATAATGGATGACTGCTATGGTTCCCTAGTTGGTTAGAGTGTTATACATCAAACAAAACTTACTTCAACATAATATAACAATACCTAATTTTCAAATTACAATATTTATATTGATATTTTACTAAATAAATTTCAATTATAGTTAATTAAAATATTTATTTTGAAAAGATATAAATAAACTGACTATGTGTATATGAAACATCATAAAAATACAGTCCAAAAATTTCTTTTTAAAACT